GTGTCTAGCATCTCTCCACTGAGCACGATGTCCTCAAGGTCCATCCACTCGGTGGCCTGTGTCACAGCCTTGTCCCTTTTCATGGCTGTGTGATACGCCAGGGAGTGGAGGGACCACGTCGTGTGTATATATCCATCCGTCTGTGGACACTTGGGTCACTCCCACCATTGGCCATGTGAGTCCTGCTGTGAGCGCAGGTGCACAAATACCCCTTTGAGATCCTACTTCTTGCTCCTTTGTGTACATACCGTGGCGCTGCTGGGCCTACAGTGACTCTGTGTTTAGGCTGTGAGCTGCCTTCTAATCTTAGGCTTGGTAATCTATAGCAGATTGGTTTTTTTTGTTTTTGTTTTTTTTTGAGACAGAGTCTCGCTTAATTGCCCAGGCTAGAGTGAGTGCCATGGCGTCAGCCTCGCTCACAGCAACCTCACACTCCTGGGCTCAAGCAATCCTCCTGCCTCAGCCTCCCGAGTAGCTGGGACTACAGGCATGCGCCACCATGCCCGGCTCATTTTTTCTATATATATCAGATGGCAAATTAATTTCTTTCTATTTATAGTAGAGACGGGGTCTCGGTCTTGCTCAGGGTGGTTTCGAACTCCTGACCTTGAGCGATCCGCCTGCCTCGGCCTCCCAGAGTGCCAGGATTCCAAGTGTGAGCCACCGCGCCCGGCCTATAGCAGATTGTTTTTATGCATTCTCGTCTGCACCTGTTTTACACTGACAAGGTTCCCTGCTCTCAAGTCACAGTCACCCACTTAAATACTTTAATATCAAACCTCGAAGTCTTCGAAGTGCGGTACCGAGATTGAGCTTTGACTCACTGGACTTTGTCCCCTGGGCTCGGGCTTTGACGGTCCAGCCTGGTTTCATGGTGATTGGAAAGCCCAGGATGGGGCCTGAGGTCCAGGATTAAAACGTTCCCACATTTGAGCCCTTAAAAGAGGGTCATGCCTCCCCCCCCCCCCCCCCCCCGCAAAACAACACACAAACACCCCAAACTGTGGGCCGTACACCCGAGGCTTGTGCAGACCTTAAACAGCTCCTCCTCCTAGATTTTCTAACCGCAAATCTGCAAATCCGTCCTTGTCCGTGCTTTGGCCCGGCCCTGGATGCCCTCGGCGGGGTGCAGAGTCACCCGGGGATCCCCTCCCGGCACCTTGTCCCTGGGTGGGCGGAGGGGGTGGGGATGATGTGGCCCAGCCCGCCGCCTCTGCTGCAGCCGCAGAGAGAAGCAAGAGCCCAGAGCCCGGGGAAAAGGAAACGTGAGCCTTTTTATTGTGTATGAATTCACTGCGTATCAACAATTCCACACGATATTAAAACACTGGAGAAAGTGGGTGCGGCACGCCTGGAATCTTAAAAAAATAATAAATAAAGATAATGGGACATCGAAATGCAGATGGGGTGGGACCGGCCAGAAACTGGTCTTCACCGCGCCTGGCGACTGCGTCCCTCGAGGACAGGGGCGGGCGGTGAGTGCCTGGCGTATGGCTTCTTAGGTTGGCTGACTTATTTTATGAGCGCCCCTCGAGGGAGAGAGACGGTTCGGTGGCTTCACCTCAGCCCGGAACCCCCTCCCGGGTCACTCCCTCGCGGGCAGGGCTCCGATGGCCTTTTCCTGTGGCCCCAGAGCTTGGCGGAGATGGATGAGCGGCCCGGTGGGCCATCAAAGGGACCTGGCAGAAAGGGAGAAAGACAAACACCTTCCGCCCCGGCCTCGGGCCACGCTGGCCACAGTGTGTGTCCCCAGAGGTCACAACCCAGCCACTTCATGCTTGGCCTGGGGGTCACCTTCGGGGAGGGGTGCACATTCTAGTGCCTTCCTGGGGTGGGGGAGGCCAGGGGAGGGTGCCCAGGTGGGCCACCAGGGGCACCCCGCAGCCTCCAGCTGGCCCTGGCCCGTGACAGCTCCAGACCGGGCTGCAGGAGAAAGGGAAGCTCGTTCGGTTCCCGCTTCTGCCCGCGCCGGTTTTCTTCCTTTATGTGCAGGCAGGTGCGTGGATGGGTATCCTCAAATCTTCCTGCCCCGACATGGCTGAGAGACGCTGGCCTCCCCACGGCCAGGGCCGGGGCTGTCCCCACACCTGCTTCTGCCACCGGTGCACCAGCAACCCCAAAACGCCTGGACGTGGCCCGTTCTCGCCGGACATCCCTGACAGATGGGCCCATGCGGTCGGCAGCACGGTGTCATCAGGTGTCAGGTCTGCACAGCTACGTCCCTCCCTGTGGGCTCGGAGGCCGACTCTGAAAGCTTGAGAGACACCCACGGGCTTTTGCCAAGTGCCACCTCCCTGTGGTCCGAGGCTGTGGCACCTGGTCACCAGGCTCGAGAGGCAGGACAAAGGGGGCGGTGGAGCGGGTGGGAGATGGCGGGGCAGGGGGCAGGGACACGTAGCCAAGGCCCAACTCTCGAGAGACACCAGCCTGTCCTTCCCCTCCCTGGGCCTCAGTTTACCTAGAAGGACCCCAGGGTCCTTTTCATGAGGGGGAGGACGTGGGTTTAGTGTCCGCTGGTCGAGTGGGCCCAGAGTGGGCACCAGGGCTGGGAAGCTCCAGCTTAGCCCCATCATCTCCCCTCTGCCCTGGGTCCCTGCTGGCTTCTCTGGGGTCGCATCAGTGGGGACACAGGGTGGGACTGGGCTTGGCACAGCTGCGTCCCCCTCCTCCCTGGGCCCTGGCAGGGCAGGGGGCACAGGAAGAGGAGGAAGGAGGCTTGGGCCCCTCGGGTGCTGCTGACCCTGAACTCAAAATCTCCCGTCCTCTGTGGGGCCTGGTGGCCAGAGGGCCAGGACGGTGGGGACCACGGAGGAAGGATGGCTGTGCGAGGATGTGACGCCAGCTCAGGGGATTAAGGCTTCTTTCTAGGAGAAACGGGGGCGCCTTGGTTCCCAGGCACCAAGACGGTTGATTGGAAAGGAAGGAGCTGGGGTGGGTCTTCCCCTCCGCCGCCTGCTTCTAACGCCGCCCCGCCAGCCCCTGCCTCAGCCTCCCTGCTGGGGCCGCTCCCCAGGTTTCCGGGACAGGCTTGTGCCCCTTCCCACGGTTCCTGCCAGGCATGGCGCAGAGGCCCGCCCTAGGTCCCCCGGCTCCCAGCCCAGCAGGAGGAGGCTGCTGTCCTCGGGTCCAGCAGCAGGTTGGTGGAGCCAGGTCTCCCCCGAGTCCCAGCCCCCCCGGACCGGCCGTAGAGAGCTGGGTGCCTGGGAGAAGCCTGAGCTGCCGTCTGATCCCTCGGGAGCCAGCCCGGGGTGGGGGGTCGAGGGCCACCCCCTGCACCTGCACCTGCTCCCTGCCCGCAGCCACCCGATCCTTCCAGCCTTGGCCCTGCCCCGGGAGGCGGCCGAGGCTCCAGCCCCTGCCCTACTGTTGTGCAGGGAGGACCCGGTGGCCGTCCTGGAACCCTCCGGGCACAAGCCCTTAGACTCTGATTTCTGTCGGGGCCTGCCGAGTCCGGGGCTGTGTGGGGTCCCCCTGTGTGATGGGTCCCCGCTGCCCAGGACCCATCTCAGGTGTGGCCGTAGGTGATGCAGGTGGATGCCGGACGGTGTGCCCGCAGCACCTCCCTTCTGCCACCTGCCGCTGCCACTCTCCATGTCGTAAAAGGGGACAAAGCCATCTTAAGAAAGCCCTGCCTCTATGACATCTTTTTTTTGAGACAGAGTCTCGCTTTGTTGCCCAGGCTAGAGTGCCTTGGCGTCAGCCTAGCTCACAGCAACCTCCAACTCCTGGGCTCAAGCCATCCTCCTGCCTCAGCCTCCCGAGTAGCTGGGACTACAGGCATGCGCCACCATGCCCGGCTAATTTTTTCTATATATATTTTTAGTTGGTCAATTAATTTGTTTCTATTTTTAGTAGAGACGGGGTCTCGCTCTTGCTCAGGCTGGTTTAGAACTCCTGATCTGGAGCAATCCTCCCGCCTCGGCCTCCCAATGTGCTAGGATTACAGGTGTGAGCCACCGTGCCTGGCCCCATGACATCTTAAATTTCCAAGGCCGTAGGGAAGAGTGAGGGATTCTCCCCCAAAATGCGACTCTCGTCCTCAAACCAGCCCTTCCAGGTTGCGACTTGGGTGGAAAACCGCAAGGATCGGGCATGAGGGATGATGGGGAGACCTGAGCGGGCGTTTCCATCTCTGGACGGAGGATCTCGCCTCCCACCGTCCTTTGAGGTCACTTGGAGATAATTTGGCAACTGTGCACACACCCAGGCGCAAGGCGGCTCGGCCCGCCAGGCAGGGGCTCCCTGGGCGGCATTTCGGTTTGAAAAACCGCCATGGTGATTCTTCGAGAAAGTGGGAAACAACCCGGAAGGGCAGGGTGTGATCAAAGCTTCATGCTTAGAATGAAACAGCCACCCCTCCCCCACAGGGGGCAAGTCCTGAAAATCCGCTTTTGGGGTCCCCTGGAAGGGGCGAGTGGCAAATGCCACACAGGGGAATGACACTCGGCAGCCTGGAGTGCATATCAGAGACAAAACCCCCTGCCCGGTCCCTACAGTCCATCTGTGCACGACACGTACAGTTTAGCTACAGGTTCAGCCACCGAAATCTGGTGTCAGCCGTGTGGAATAACAATTTTTTAAATGGAAAGGAGAGATTTTTTTTTTTTTTTTTTTTTTTTTTTACAAAAAAGTTCATTAGGTCACCCAACCCCCCAACCCCAGTTTTACCTCTACTAAAAAAAAAAAAAAAAAAAAAAAAAATCCCAGCAACCTGGCGACTCCTTTCACGTGTGGCCAATTGTGAAGGAATCGCTGCCCCGGGCCGGGGACAGGTGCCCTGAGCCAGCTGCAAATTCACCCTCCTTTCCTTCCCTGCTCCGCTTCCGCAAGGCGGACGGCAATTGAGAGTTTTAAAAAATTGTTACCACGTCGCTTGGGCATCTCAGTTGTTCCTAATTGGAAGTGGCTGCAGAGCCACCGACCCGGGAGAGACCGGTGTCCTCGGGTCTGAAAATCCATCTAATCTGGAGGATACATTTTACCCCACCTGGGCAGTGCAATTTTTTTTTTTTTTTTTGCTTTGCTTTTGGAATTAAAAGTTTTGGGGACTCGAGATGTTTTGCTCGAGCTGGGCACTGAATGATGCCGGGGAGAGAGACAGACAGACAGACAGACGGAGAGAGAGGGAGGTGGGAGGAGCCGAGCGCAGGGAGAACACAGCTATAGAATAATACAAGGCTTCTTGTCCTTAAAGGGGTTCTCGGAGGCAGGGACCCCGACCAGCAGAGGGTCGTTCCGGGCGTGCTGTTCGCAGTAACTCATGAGTTCCGACGAGGCTTTGGAGACCTGTGTGTGGCACAAGGAGGGGAGAAGAAGGGTGAGAAGGGAGGAGGCACCGTGTGCCCGTGGCCGCATTCACAGCAGCCCCAAGGGGCATACAGCCCGGTCTCCATGGCGGGGGTAGATCAACATGATATGGGCTGTCCACACAGCTGGAACATCACTCAGCCAGGAGAAGGGACGAGGCTCCGACACAGGCCACAGCGTGGAGGGACCTTGAGGACGTCGTGCTCAGTGAGAGACGCCAGACACAGAAGGACACACAGTGTGAGACTCCGTTTATATGAGACGTCCAGAACAGGCAGATCCACAGGACGGGATGTGGATTCGTGGTCGCCAGGGGCTGGGGGAGGGGGAGGGGAAGTGACTGCTGATGGGGATGGGGCTTCCTTTTGGGGTGATGGAATGTTCTGGAATTAGAGACAGGTGCTGGTCGCATAGTGCTGTGAATATACTAAATATCACTAATAATACATTTGATATGTGTCTTTTACTACAACTGCAAAATGATTTTTAAAAAAGAAAGAGAAGGCTGAGCTTCCTTCAGGAGTCGCCAGGTGTTGAACAAAGAGTCGGCTGGACGCCCCACGCCCGCCGCAGGATGGGAAAACCCGCCTGAATATGCAACTCGATTGCCAGAGGTCTGACAGCGTTACAGGCGACACTCTCCTTCATCCGGTCGCAGCCGGAACCCACGGGGGACACTCCCGTTCACGGGCGGGACCCTCTGCCATGGGTTGCAGCCACCAGCCGTCCCTGGGCCACACTGCTGGTCCTCCAGGCAGCGCCTCCGGGAGGCCGCAGGTGCTGCCCCGAGGCTCACCCCAGCCGGGCAGGAGGCCAGGGTGTCCAGTGTCCCAGGCCAGGGCGAACGGGGACACTCACGTCCCTCTGCCCTGGAACTCACCCCCAGGGTGGCAGCTCTCTCTGCGGAACTTGGCGACCGTCCCCAGCCTGGCTGCCTCACCTGGAAGGTGCCTTTGCCCCCAGACACCCCATCCTCCCTCGGACCCCAGGGACCCTGGGACTGCATCTCCTCGGGCCAGCTTCAGGGCCAAGCCTGGCAGCCCTGGGGGGCGCGCCTGCCCACGGGTGGATGGAGAAAATTGCCACTCTTGTGGGCTCGCTGGCCGCGGCCTTTGATGACTTGGGTCGGGCTCGCTTTCTAGACATCCATTTGGGAAGCAGCGTCCTCGAGGACAGAAATAGCCTCGAGCCTGGAAATAGCCGGCGCGGTGGCCCTGGCACAAACGGAAAGCCTGTGCCCGCCACTGCCCAGGCTCTGTGGTTCTGGTCACCACTTCGAGGGGACAAAAAACCTCAGGCGGGACTGGCAGGGGGGCGTGGGCTCTAGTCCTGACCTGACTTTCACGGGGTGGGGCTCAACCCTCGACATCAAACGGGGCGGGATGAGTCACCGCCTCCCCAGGAAACCCACTTCAACCGGGGCCTCTCTGTGCTCAGCCCAGAGGAATGCTTTGAATGCCCAGGTCTGCCCGGCAGTCGGGGTTCTGGAACATTCAGACACCTTGTGGGGGGTACCCCCACCCCTCCTGGCTGGATCCCAGGTGGCAGTGGCGTGACGGGGTCCGGGAGGGCTCAGGGCCGGGCTGGAAGCCCACCGGCTGGTTGAAGCCCTCCCGGACCCCCCCCACCGCCAGGCCAGCAGGGCAGAGTCTTTCCGTCCCTGCCTGGAGCCACCTGGGGGCCGGTCACCCCTTCCTAGTGAATACGCACGACCAGTGACCACCGTGGGGGACAGGTGCTTGAGAACAGAGGTCTGAGCGGACACGTGGGGGGAGGGGCAGTTGACTTTATGGGTCCACTGGGCCAGGCCACAGTGCCTTGTTGCATGATCAAACGTCAGGTGAAAGGCCCGAGGTCACACAGCGAGAGGCGCTGCCACGGTGGCGGTGGCGCAGCCTCTGCCCTCCCGCGAGGCCCCCTGCCCGTCACTGGCTGAGCGCCCCTGGACCCCCCAGCTCCTCACCTTGATGCGCTCGATGCCGGCTTCGATGCGGAGCTGCTCCACCAGCTTCCGGGCCTGGGCTATGTTGTTAGTGGCTGACATTGTCTGCCATCAGCTCGGGGCCGTCGTCCAGAGACCTGTGGGGGGGGGCAGAGGGACATGAGCCGGCTTGTGACGGCCAAGGATGCTGGACCCAGGAGGGCAGCGGGGCAGGACGCCCCGTCCCGCAGCCCCCCGCTCTGGGGAGTGGCCATGGCCTCTGTGTCCCCAGCTCTCCGGCCAGCGGGAGGGAGCCTGCTAAGCACGACATCCCACTTTCCTTCCTGTAGCCGATTGGGGCCAGTGCCCCCGGCTGTGACCATCAAAGCGCTCCCAGGAGAGTTCCAGAAACAGCTGCTGGTTGGGCTGGAGTGAGGGGCTCGGCAGGAAACAGAAAGGAGCTTTTGCTCTGCTCCCCGCCCTGCCCCAGGCTCTGCCCTGGCACTGGGCAGCCCGGACACTGCAGCCGCCCTGGCCTCCACCCACCCATGCCAGGAGCACCCCCGACCCAGTCGTGACAGCCACAAATGTCCCCAGACATGGCGCAGTGTCTCTGGCGGGACAGAGGCAGGTCTTGGGGATCCTGGGGGGGGTCGCCCTTCTCCTTAGGGCCTGGGCTCACTTCACTCAGCCTTCCCGCCGCCATCTGTTCAGCAAACCTCACAGAGAGCCGACCGCTGCCCGAGGGCAGGAAGTTGTTACAAACACTTCCGGCCTCCAGGTCCCTCCTGGGAAAGCGGTACCCAGCCCGGACCCCACCCTTAATCTCCCACAAATACCGGTATGCGCTCCTTTCCCAAACTTTTATCATTTTAAGAGTGTTGCCAGGTGCGGTGGCTCACGCCTGTAATCCCAGCATTTTGGGAGGCCAAGGCAGGAGGATCGCTTGAGCCCAGCAGTTTGAGACCAGCCTGGGCAACATAGCAAGACCCCGCCTCTACAAAAAATTGAAAAATTAGCTGGATATGGTGGTGGTGCCTGTACTCCCAGCTACTCAGGAGGCTGAGACAGGAGGATCCCTTGAGCTTAGGAGTTGGAGGCTGCAGTGAGCTGTGATGATGCCACTGCATTCTAGCCTGGGTGATAGAGCGAGACCCTGTCTTAAAAAAAAAAAAAAAAATATATATATATATATATATATATATATATATATATATATATATAAAACACAAAATAAAGAGAATGCTACAGAAATGGGACAATATGGTATGTAACCTTTTGGGATTGGCTCCCCCCGCCCCAGGCGGTTGCAGATATCAATATCAATATCTCGTTCCTTTTTGCACGAGCAGCACTCTGCGGTGTGGAGGAACCACGGTTTGCTTAACCATCCACCTGCTGAAGGACATCTGAGCCGAAGCTAGTTTTATCTACCACGTGCAAGGCTGCTATAAACACTCCTGCTCGGGTTCTCGCGTGGACATAAGTCTTTATTTCTCTGGGATAAACCCCAAGGAGCGCAGCGGCTGGGTCACACGGTAGCCGCAGGTTTAGTTTTTAAGAAACCACTGAGTGGTGCTTACTTGTCTATATAATTCGGTTATGTGAAAATTTTTCTGTTCCTATAGGCAGCAAAAATTCTGCTTCCATCTAGTTTTGAGTTATTGGGTGAGTCTTAATTCAGTGGTTCTCGACTACGGGTGATCCTGCCCCTCTCCAGGGGACACTGGGTGAAGTCTGGGGACATCCGTGGTTGTCACGACTGGAGAAGGGGGAGCCCCTGGCACGGGGTGGGTGGGGGCAGGGACGCTGCTCAGCACCTGCAGTGCCCAGGACGACCCCACCCCGAGAACCACCCGGCCCCAGTGTCAGCAGCATCGGCGTTAAGGGACCCTGTCAAGCAGGACCCAGCAGGGGTGTCCGTGCTGTTGGGGTGCCAGGCACAGAGCCCCTGGGCCTGCCACTTATTTAACCGGGTGACTAAGTAGCGCTGGTGTCCGTCACGGCTCGCGGTGTTGCCGGCAGTTCTGTAGAACTAGGCGGCCGCAGAAAAGTGAAGGCAAGATTTCAGATTTTCAGAACATTCCGACTTCACGCTCAGTGGACGTTACACGCGGCGACGGGTACGAATCTCCAGGGAACGGGGCAGAGGGAACAAAGCCAGTCCCAGCAGTGACATGCTGTGTGGCTCCCTGGATAGAACGTGATTGGGACGACAGCCTGGGAGACACGGAGACCGGATTAGGGGTCGCCAGGGGTCAGGGAGGGCGACAGGAAGGACACTTGCTGCGTCTGTCTCGGCCATGCGGGAACCTGCCCAGGAGGTGGCCTCGGAGGGAACTCAGGGCGCGCAGGCCCAGGGCACGAGTGAGACTGCAGAAAGGAACGGCCGGGTGGGCTGTGTCACCGTCTGTCGCGCCGTAGTCTTACAAAATGCTACCCCAGAACCGGGTCAAGGAGACGCACTTTCCCCGTGTTCTCTGGTACGACTGGATGTGACTCCACAGGGATCTCAGTAAAAGTATCAATTAGGGAAAACATGCCTGGACACCGCCCGGCTCCCGCGTCCCCTGCAGACGTCCAGCCCCGTTTGGGGCAGGAGGGCCCGGGCCTGGCTCCTGTGTGCCCCGTGCAGGCCGCGTGTGGGCTCGCGCAGGGCTGTGATTCAACAGGGAGCTTCAAAGCGGCCACAAAACATCCAACCCAGGGAAAACCGCCCTGGGTTCGGCTTAAAAATACCTAAATTACTCAGCGCTAAATATAGACACGGACAGAGAACAAACGGGCTGGCCCCACGGCCTGTTTTCCTTGGAAGGCCAAGGGGCCCTATCTGACACGCACAGGACCCTGGAGCCGCAGCCGCCACGTGACCATCGGGTCCCTGCTCTGGGCAAACGGCGTGGCAGAGGCTTGCTCTGGGCTGGTTATAGCCCAGGCCGGCTGGAAAGGCCAGAGAGGGCTGCGTTTGTGTGTGACTGTGTGCGCATACATTTGTGTGTTCACATGTGTGTTTATGCGTGTACATGCATATGTGTATGCACATGTGTGCACATGTGTATATGCTGGTGTGCATGCAAGTGCGCATGTGTGCACGTATACACATGTAGTAAGCATGTCATTGTGCATGTGCACGTGTGTATTTGTGCATGTGCGTATATGTAGGTGTCAGTGTGCTTAGGTATATGTATTTGTGTACACACGTGCACTTATGCATGCATCATGCACATATGCATGCCAGCATGCATCTGTATGTCCACACATGTGTTTGTGCATGTGTGTGTATGTATGTCAGTGTGCTTGTGTGCATTTGTTTACACACATGTACGTGTGCATGCACGTACACATGTGCAAATGTGTACTTGTGTGTACATGTACACACGGACACCGGTGCATATGTGCACATGTGCATACATGTGTGTCTGCACGTGCACGTGTCTGTGTGTGCTCACACTGAGATTCAGACACAGGTTGCATCACCCACAGCCCTTGCAGCTGCGTCCTGAAGTCCCTGTCTTAGCTGCTGTCACCAGCCAGCCACACTGACTCAGGGAGCAGCCATGCCCCCCACCGAGAATTTAGCCAACGCCAGCAAAACACGCCTGGGTGCTGAGTCAGCCCAGGGAACATTCCTCACCGGCTGCCTCCCCGAAAAGGCACGTGACGGTGCCGGGCACCCTGACCTGGCTGGGCCGGGCAGGGCCTGGGAAGGCTCTGGTGGCCGGGCAGGGCCTGGGGACACCGGTGGGCAGGGGTGGGGTGGTCAGAGCCGTGCGCAGCCCCGGGGGCACCTCCTCGACATGCCTCGGTGCACAGTGCTCCGGGCTGGGGAGGCTGGGGAACAATGTGGGGTGAGGCTCTCTAAAAATAAAACTCTAATGGATGCTGCCAGGCTCTGGGCCGGCCTCCTAGCCAAGGGCTAACAAACGACGCCCGAGTTTAAGCCTCCGCAGAAGAATCCCACAAAACGCACGGCCTGAAAGCGTGCCCAGGGTGCCCCCCAGGACACACAGTAAAGCCTCATTACCCCTAAATAGAGCAGGTCTGAGCTAAGAAGTGAGGCTGCAGCGCGTGCAAGGATTCAGCAAACCCAGGCGACAGGCAGCTTCCCTCAGCCACAGGACACGTGGGTGGCGGAATGGCAACGCCTGGTCAGAGCGGGGTCTGAACCTCGGCCCTGCGGACACTGGGGCCGGCTCAGTCTCCGGGGGCGGGCCGTCCGGGGTGCTTCGGGGCGCTGAGCAGCACCCCTGGCCTCCACCCACCCCACGCCAGGGGCTGCCCAGGCACAGCCGCAGATGTCTCCAGATGTGGCCAAGCGTGCCCTGGGGGTGCTGGGCAGAACCGCCCCTGGGTGAAGCACTGGGTTGGAGCAGACCTTTTCCCACACTCCCGGAGATGCTCCATATAAACAGCCGCAGACTGAAATGGAACCATACCCAGAGGGGGCCAATCATAGGGAATATTCTTTATCAGAGAGCGGTTACATCCTGGCGACTGCATCAACAGAACGAATGGAGATTGGGAGCTATGACCACGTACAAGGATTTAGGGCTGGGCGTGGTGGCTCACGCCTGTAATCCCAGCTACTCGGGAGGCCGAGGCAGGAGGATCATTTGAGCCCAGGAGGTGGAGGCTGCAGTGAGCTGTGATGATGCCACTGCACTCCAGCCTGGGTGACAGGGTGAGACTGTCTCAAAAAAAAAAAAAAAATTAGAGCTTCATGACAAATACTAGTAAAACTAAAACCCAAGACCATTGCATCGATGTGACAAGGACACTGGAAGAAAACCTCTTGAGCATATTAATTCCGTAGCCAGGTCCTGGTTGATATAGCGAGTAAAGGACACATTTAATTAATTCGTGTAAGAAGAATTTAACTGGTAAATAACCGGTTAGAATGGCCTCATTAATCATGAAAGAAAGCGGGTTGGAAGACTAACAGGTGGCACTCTATGTAGTTGCGACACCAGTCAAGTGAGAGAAGGAGTAAGAAAGTCCCGTGTAACCACCGCCTTTGTGGCCTGCCCCTGTAGCCACCCGTCTGTTCACTGTCCGTATAGCTTTGCCTTTTCTGGAAAGTTCCTTAAATGGAGTCATAGGGTACATAGTCTGGTTTCTTTCCCAGGGCATGAAGTGTTTCGATTCGTTCCTGTTCTTG